TGGAATTTCTCAAATAAATAGAAAATACCTATTTAACCTGAAAAGTGGATGCTGATATGCAGAGGTTTAGGACAAAGTCTGACTAGAAAATTCTGTGTTAACTGCAGAAAATCAAAATAATTAATTAAAACCAAGGCATTAAGTACTAAGTCGAATGTATTTTTTTATTCAGGTTAAAACTTGAGGAAGCCAAAGAAGTTCAGAGCCTCAGAAAGCGACCCAATGGGGTGAGGTAAGGGATGGGAAGTTGTGCTTTGTCTGAGGGTGTGATGTAACAGTGAATTTCTCTCGTCTTCTGCCTCCTTCACTACAAACCATTACATGTCAGATACTGCCAAAACCGTGTTCCCGATAGAGCAGTTTCCATGTTAAAGCCTGAGGGTGGAAAAGAGGGGGAGAATTAGAGAAGGATAAGGCAATGCAGTATTCTTGGTAATATGTTTCCTTCCACTTAATTCCATTTTCTTTCCTTATCTGCCTGACCAGTGCTGTAGCTCTGCTTGTGGGAGAGAAGTTGCAAGAAGAAGCAACACTTGTGGTAAGTGCTGGGCACTTCCATCTCCTCGGGGCTGAGATGTGATGGTGTGAAGACATTGCTGTGGTCCAGCCAGTGACTGTGTGAGTCTGGCCTGGGGTGGGACTGATGTCACAGCTCAGTTCCTAAATGTTTTCTGTGCTTTCATCCAGATTTTGAAGATTAGCATTAAACTAGGGGGAAGCTTCAGGGTTTCTTGTTGTGTCTTGGTTTACAGGATGACCCATTTAAGATAAAATCCGGGGGAATGGTGGACATGAAGAAGCTGAAGGAAAGAGGCAAGGACAGGTGGGTGCATGTGAGCTCTGTAAATCTCTCTCTGGACTAGTGTTAAATGACAGCTGGTAATGAACTAACACTTTAGAGAGTTTAATATAACCCAGTTTGGCCAGTTATTTTTACCCTAACATGTTAAATTAGTTTAAAAAAACCACCACACCTACCTCCCCAAAAAAACAAACAACAAACAACACACACACCCCCCAAAACCTGTAAACATTGTGGTTTCCACTTAGGATTAATGAAGAGGAAGATCTGAACTTGGGAACTTCCTTCTCAGCAGAAACCAACAGGCGGGATGAAGATGCTGACATGTGAGTTGTGCTGTGTCTCTGGTGTTGAACTTGCCTGGGTGGTCCCTCACTATTTATTTTTTTCTGTCTTGGATTCTGAGTACTCCCAGAATATCTTCCCAGTTTTCACTGAAACTTTCCCTCACCCTTTCACTTCCTGCATGCCAGACTTGAGAAGGCTTTTTCATGGACAGAGCTGGGAGGTGCCAACCAGCCAGCTTGACATTAAATCCCAGTGGGAGCCTTCCCTGCTGGCTGTGAAAGAGCTTGGAGGATCTGATTGTTTCTTGGACAATTAATTCTTGCTGTTGATGTTAGCTGAGTTCTTTTGGAGAGATTACTCTATTCTGTCCCAGCTTTCAGGACCGGGATGCAGCTGTGCTCAGCAGGGCTGGGATGGAATGCAGGCACAGAATTAAATGCTGTGTGTCCTTCATGTGCTGCTGTTTAGGATGAAGTACATCGAGACTGAGCTGAAGAAGAGAAAGGGAATTGTGGAGAATGAGGAGCAGAAGGTGAAGCTTAAGAACGCCGAGGACTCTCTGTACGAGCTGCCAGAGAACATCCGTGTCTCCTCTGCCAAGAAGACTGAGGAGATGCTGTCCAACCAGATGCTGAGTGGCATTCCTGAAGTGGACCTGGGAATTGAGTATGTGGTTCACAGATCTGTGGGTTATGGCCAGAATTTCCAGGATAAGCAGCTGTTGGTTGGCAGAGCAGCGCTATGGGTGGATGACACAGCCCCAGTTTGGCTGTGGGGTGGGACTGAGAATTGACTGGGATTAGTGTGGTAACTAGCACAGCACAGCAACAGGGCTCGGTGCAGCTCCACTGTGTGACCTGTGGGAAAAGGCTCTTAATTTTTGTGACCTGACTCTGGCAGCTTTCTGGATGACCCATTTGTGCCCTGCACTGAAAGGATGCACGAAGATGGGAGCTTCCCTTCTGCCTTTGAAACAAAGCACCTGTTTCTATAGCAATGCCTCCTCTCTCCAAAAACACATGTACCATGTAACAGTACCATGGCAGTGCTGTTACTACCCCCCGAACCCATCCACTTAGCACTTCTGTGCCTGCTACCCTTTCTAACTATTAATATTTTTTCTTTCTTTCTCTTTTAGTGCAAAGATAAAAAACATCATCTCAACTGAAGAGGCCAAGGCCAAGCTGCTGGCAGAGCAGCAGAACAAGAAGAAAGACAGCGAAACTTCCTTTGTTCCCACCAACATGGCTGTTAATTATGTCCAGCACAACAGATGTAAGTTTTATGTAGTTCCCCTGACCCAGCTGGGACAGAGTCTGATACAGAGTCTGTGTGTTGGTACGAGCAGCTCCACAATTGCTTTTCCTGGGATGCTCATATAGACCACATCTGGCCTGGGCTTTTTCTTCTTCCTGTCAGCAAGAAGAGGGAATCTCATTGCTCATTCTCATGGCTGAACTTTCTGAACTCCCAGCTGGCAGCAACTCATAAATTTCAAGATGTTTTCTTTAAGTTGTGCCTTGAGCGTGTGTTGGAAATGCCTGCCCTGTCTGGGATGATAAATGGTGGTTTATAGTGGAGAGGGTCCATGTTTTAGGCTGCCAGAGCAGAGAGGTGGCCACAGACCTTACTAGACAGGAGAAGGGAATTAATTTCCGGGAGAGCCTCTCATGCCACAGCCATCTGGAGGAAAGGCAGCCTTCTGCTGTGTCCTTCCATGCTCACAGGGGTGACTGGGGGTCAGGTTGGTGTGTTCTAAAGGAAGTGAAGAGTGTTTGGGCCACTTCTGATGAAACAGTGCTACTGAAATTTGCTGTACCCCATCTTGCCTGTATTGATTATCCATAGAAACCCAATTCCAAGAATGGTTGTTCTAAGCTGCTGTTGTTTCTGCTAAAGATGACCTGTAACAAATGTCATAGAAATTTGTCCATTGGATAAGAGTGCTCCAGATAATATTCCTTACCTGATGTTTTCCTTCTCTCAGTTTATCATGAGGAGCTGAACGCACCAGTGCGAAGGAACAAAGAGGAGCCAAAGCCCCGTCCCCTGAGAGTGGGGGATACTGAAAGACCAGAACCTGAGCGTAAGTTCTGAATCTGAAAGGCTGTAAGGAGATACACTGAAACTCTTCAGGGAAACAGAGAAGGGATCTGGGCCTTTTTACCTCCTCTGGATGCCCTGAGCTAGGAGGGAAATGGAGCAATCCAAGTCCAAGAGAGCTGGTTGTTTGCACTTGATGTACCACTGCCAGGTCACACCTGAAGCCCCTCTGGATGGAGGATGTTTTTAGAGATGCTCAGGGGTGGAGCAGTGAAGGTCACAGCTTAAGCATGTTGGCAAAGCTGTCTGAGAAGGGTTTGGTGGAAGCTGGAACACCAAAGGGTGCAAGGTTGGGGAGCAGTGACAGCTGAAGCAATAACCTTACGTAGCAAGGGGCTGTATAAGGGAAGTGGTGGGGTTGAGACAACGTCTCCTGTCAAAGGACAGGGAAATAATATTTCCTTCTCTCTCTTTTGAAGGGTCTCCTCCAAATCGCAAACGTCCCCTCAATGAAAAAGCCACAGATGATTATCACTATGAGAAGTTCAAGAAGATGAACAGGCGATACTAATGAACATGGACTGAAGCCTTTTGAGTTGTTTGGATTTGCCGCTAATAAAGGATTTTGTGTCTGTGACCTGCGATGGATTTTGAGAAGAGTCACTACCTTCACATGCTGATGTTACCTACAAAGCTTTTCAACTGTGTGATCTTGTAGTGAATCAGTTTGCAGATGATTGTGAACTCTTTGGTCGGTGAAACCTTGTATATAACTATGTTCTTATAAATAAAGTTTTATAATGGAAAATGAGCTTTCATGGTTGGCATTTTCTAGTGAGAAAACACTTGCTTTTATACATTTTTTTTCACCCTCTTAAAAGTACGTAAAAAAATAGATCCTTTAAAAGCAGCGGCGCTGTTTGATTTATAAATGTAAAGCTCTTGGGAGCTTTATATTTAAAATACATAGCTGGTGCAGAGGCCACAGCTGGCTGCACCGTGTCTTCCCTGGAGGTGCAATGTGGGTAGTTGTAGTGAAGATCTGTAACTTTGAAAATAGCAAAAAGTGTTTTTAAGTTATTAGAAGTGACATTTTTCCTTCTGGGATCCTTGCGGATGCTTTGTGGGTGCCAGGGTGTCCTGTCAACTCAGGAGTGGCAACACCAGGGTGAGGAGGGACAAGATCAGATTTTGCATTTTTTTCAGAAAACGGGAAAAGTCTGTCTGCCAGGGTATGGATGAGTTTGTCCCAGAGCCTGGCCATAGGTGACTTTGTCCCTGAGCCCATGCAGGTGGATCCCTTGGACAGGGAGCCTTGAGACGGGAGATTTAGATTGGATACTAGGAAAAAAAATTTCCACGTTAGGGTGGTCTTGGAATAGGTTGCTCAGGGAAGTGGTGGAGTCACCAACCCTGGATTAAGAGGTGTCTGCATCTGGGTGCTGCTGATGTGGTGTAGGGGTTACAGTGGTAGTGCTGGGTTGACAGTTGGACTTGACGATCTTAACAGTCTCTTCCAACCTTGACAAGTCTATGATTTCATGACAAACACACAGACACAGAGTGTAACATTTAACAATTCCACCACGCGAGGCCGCCGCGCAGCCGGTGACAGCGGCAAGTGCCCGCCCAAACATGGCGGCCGCCCCTCAGCGCTGGCCCCGCCCATTCCCGCCCAAACATGGCGGCCGCCCCTCAGCGCCGGCCCCGCCTCTCCCACACCCGCCATGGCAGCGACGGAAGCGGCGCCGAGGGGCGGAAGCGGCGGGCCGGCGGCGGGGCCGGGCGGGCCATGAAGCTGCGGCGGGGCGCGCTGCGGGCGGCCCTGGCGCTGCTGCTGCTCCTCCCCCAGGCCGGCGCCGTGGAGCCCATCAGCCTGGGGCTCGCCATCGCGGGCGCCGCCGCCTCCGCCCTCACCGGCTTCATCTCCTACCCGCGGCTCTACTGCTACTTCAGGGAGTGCTGCCTCCACCGGCACGACCAGCGCGCCGCCGCCGGTGCGGGGCCGGGGCGGGCTCTGAGGGGAGGTGGCGGGAGGGCGCCGCGGGGGCAGCGGCGCCGGGAGCCGGGCAGAGCCTCCCCGGGGGCCGCCGCTCCAGCCCGGCCCGGCCCTTTGCCCCCTGCCCGGGGCTGCGGCCGCCACACCGCGCGGGGTGACCCCGCGCCCGCCGCTCACTGTGTGGTCTCTCCATCCAGCTCTGCAGGACACCTTGGACAAGAGGCTGTTCGGGCAGCACCTGGTGAGCAAGGTGGTTGTGAAAGCCGTGAGGGGCTTCTTGAACAACACCAACGCCAAAAAGCCCCTGGCGCTCTCCTTGCACGGGTGGACTGGGACAGGCAAGAACTTTGTCAGTAAGATCGTCGCCGAGAGCATTTATAAAAAAGGCCTGCAGAGTAAATACGTCCATCAGTTCGTCGCAACTCTGCACTTTCCTCACGCTCACAGCATCAATCTCTACAAGGTAAGAGTGTGCTCCGCTGCCCGGGGTTATAAATGTCATGGCATGATCAGTGCTACTGACCTAGGCGTTATTTTGTGCAGTAACATGTATCCCGTGCCTGTTTTGGAATCTTCAGCACAGAACGAGGTGAATCCTTACATCCATCAGGACTGTTTTTCCCGTGACTGTAAAGGTTTTTCATGTATCTTGAGCCTCTCTTTAGGGAAGAATGATGAGGTTTAATTTTCATTCTACAGTTTGCGTAGAGAGAGTTAAGGATAAACATGATTCATGGTTAGGTGATATGTTGGTGGGCACTGCAAAAAAACCCCAATTGTTCATGACTCTGGGGAACAACCCAGTGACCTCCAGGTGTGTCAGGCACCACGGCAAGCTGAAGTTTGATCTCTGAGGCATTGGTGTGTACCCTTCTGTCAGTTCTACTGCACACTGAGCAGCTTGTTTCGTTTTCTGTGGATCCGTTTCCCAGCTGTAAAGTGAAATCACAAGATATTACATTGTCAGAGAGGTACAGATAAATGTACTTGGAATTGTGTCACCTTGTGGGGTCAGTGCAGTTCTGTGGGCAGGGGGATATTGTGGAGGAGTAGCTCAAATGCATATTTTCTGGGTTTTTTTTGTTCTGACTTTGTTAACAGCAGAGTTTGAATGAGTACCACTGTCTTGTAGTACTGCATGTTTATATTCAGCTTGTATATGTTAAAAATGGGAACAGGATGGGCTACAAACTTGATTTCTAAATGGAGGAAATAGCTATTTCCTCTTTTACAGCTTATTTTTCCCCTTCTTGTAGCTGAGCTGTTTTAAAATAAAATGGAAGCTTTTCTGCATTTTTTTTGAGGTGAATAAACTTGGGAAGCTTGCTGCCCGAGGCAGTAGGAGAAACCTATTGCTACTTATTACCAACAGTGACTGCTACTTAACACCTGCAGTTCAGGGACTGAGTAAACAGAGAATATAAAAGTGATGAACCATTGAAAATAGTCAAGACATATCAACCCTTTTTTTTCCCCAATTAATTCATTAATGATCTTGAATGCAACACTTAGGTGAGAGAAAAATGCAGTGCTTAAGTCAGCTTTGTTTTTTGTGGCTGTTCCTTAGTGGGACCCATCCTTTGTCCTGCTGTGCACTTTAATTTTTGCTTTATATAGGAATATCTTTCTCACAAGGAGATTTCCTGCTTGTCCTATCCTGTCCCTTGGTGCCTTAAGATTTTTCAGATCCAGCATGAGATTTTGTTAAAAGTTTCACTTACAACTTTTAATTTTTGTCAAGAAGACAGAGCTATTAAAATGACACCAACTCTTTCATGGCAAAGTTCAGTAAACATAAGTGCTATTTCCTGTCTTTTCAACACAAACTCATTCAGCATCTTTCATTTTTATGGCACTCCAGGACCAGCTGCAGTCGTGGATCCGGGGAAATGTGAGCATCTGTCCCAGATCCCTCTTCATCTTTGATGAAATGGATAAAATGCACGCGGGACTCATTGACTCAATCAAGCCCTTCCTGGACTACTATGAGCTGTTGGATGGGGTGTCTTATAGACAGGCCATCTTCATCTTCCTCAGGTAAGAAGTGCCTTCTCAGGTTTGCAGCTCTGTGCACTCACTGCCTTTTAAAACTACCCCCAGCTACAATCTTTGTTTTCTCTTCATTTAGCAACGCAGGAGCTGAAAAGATAACAGAGGTGGCACTGGATTTCTGGAGAAAGGGGAGGACGAGGGAAGACATAAAGCTCACAGACATCCAAAATGCACTGTCTGTGTCTGTCTTCAACAACAAAAATAGTGAGTAAAGCTGGGATTGCTTTTGAGAGGGTAAAGGTTACACAAAAGGGATGGACTGTACTTAGCTGCATTTTTACAGCCATGGTTTCTACTCGATGTGGCCTCCAGTTTTTGGCTTGTGAGGAGCCACGATGCAGTTTTGGGGCCTGCAGTGAGATGAAGTGATGGTGTGCAGCAGAGGGCTGTCATGTGCCTCTTCCATGCAGTGTTGAACTAGAGGAGTGGTAACAAGCCTCTTTTTTCCCTTTGCAGGTGGGTTTTGGCACAGCACTTTGATTGATAAAAATCTCATTGACTACTTTATCCCTTTCCTGCCTCTGGAATACAAACATGTGAAAATGTGTGTCAGGGTTGAGGTTGAATCACGTGGCTACACTGTGGATGAAGACATTTTAACCAGAATAGCTGACGAGATGACCTACTTTCCCAGAGAGGAGAGAATTTATTCAGATAAAGGATGTAAAACTGTGGATGCAAAGCTGGATTATTACTATGACTTCTAATGCTTTGTTGCTGCAACCTGCAAAGAAGCAAATTTAACTTAATCACAAAGTGGAGGACCCGAGACATTTCATTTTTTAAGTACTTTTTAAAAGAAGGAACACTATTTTTTAACTGGTATGTGAATAAGCAGCAGTGCCTCTGCATTTTTATTCTGTCACCAGTCATGGCTCCTGAGCACTCCAGCCTTGTGCTGTCAAGGTAAGAAGGAACTGCTTTGGGAATTCCTGGAATTCTGACAGGGCTGAAGACTCCTTGGATCATGTGTTGATCATCGGAACCGTTTGGCAGACTGTTGACAGGTACAGAAGGACTGAGACTATGACCTAATTTTAATTGGATTTTGCTCTGATGTGGATGATCTCTAGACAATACTGAGAATTTTAATCAAAGTTCCTTTGTCTGTGAAAGGCTGCATTGGTCCTGTGTGGGGATATGCATTAAAATAGAATATGTGTCTTTTCTCCCTCAACGGTTTGAGTCTAGTAAAGATAAGGGGGGGAGGGATTCTGGAATTAAAAAATCTAGGCTCTTCTATCCAACATCATGTAGTGCCATTGTCTTTCTCAAAACAGTGGTATGATTTGGTCTTCTGTGTGTCAAACCAAGGATATGAAACTCTTTGTTATGAATACTGTTCAGAGAGCAGACTTAATGTTATAAGGAAGAGAGTTAAAATCCTTGGCTGCCACATCACTGTAATTAGTTGCTATTTTTGGTTAGTTTTTATGTATAAAGTTGCCCACAGCATGCTCTCTCCCAGGGGTGCTGTCAGGAGGGAGAACAGTGTGCTCCTGGACTGGTGAGTCAGCTTCATGGAAAGGGTGTAATGTGATGGCAAACGTGTACAGATTAAATTTTAAGCCATGGAAATGGAAAAGAGGTTTCTCTTCTTCACCCATGTGTCAAATTCAGGGGCCAGCATGCAGGATTTCCCATTTTTTTTATCTTCTCACAATACTGTGTGCCTTTGAGACAGAGGGGTGGAGACAACTCTGAAGGCATTTGAAAAAAAAAAAATGTGTCAACCAGTTACTGCAAAGGGTGTCAGACTTGTTTCTGAATGTGAGCACTGCAGAGGCTTTTTTCATTCCAGTTGCTGTTCAAAATAAACTTTTCTCATCAGAAATTTATTTCTTAGCTACCTTCTGGTGTTCTTTGCATTCAGTGATCTGATGTTAATTTTGCACAAACTTACTCCATGTTCAGGAACAGCACACTACATTCCTGGCTGTTCAAGCTCTGCTTGAGCACAGGTATCTCCCTTTTTGAGTTCAAAGGGCACAGATAGGAGATGTGACTCTGCTACCTGGTGACAGAGAAACAAATGAAGCTTGGAGTGGAAACTGCACTTCTGGACCATCAGTGCTAATAACACTCGTGGTTTTTTTTAGAGGCAAACTTCCTAGGTGTGTGTGTGCTCAATAGTATTGTAAGGATGGACTTGGAGATCAGTTAAAACCCTGCTGAACTCTTCCCACTGTGGTGCCACTGCCTGAACAACCTGCAGGCTCTAATTGAAGCCACCTGGGTTTTCAGTGGCAGCATCTTGAAGCTTTTCTCTGCAAGGAGTTAAAAAAAAGGGCCAATAAGACTCCTGCTGTTCCACTTCTTCTCTGAAGGGGTATGATATTTAAATTATCAGTCCTGGTATTTGTCAGCAAATGAGTGCTTCAAACTCAGGCATTTATCTGTTTCTTTGACTTCCTTATTACAGCAAAAACTGGCTAATGGAAAAAAGCAGATTTAATAATGATGAACTTGTCTGGTACCCTGTCCTCAAAGGAAACAGTACAACCAAGCAGCATTGTGGCTCTTCCAGCATTAAGTACTCTTACTTCTTTGTGTGCCTTTGCAGCATCAATATGAGCATTTGACATAGATTGGTAGCCAGTATTTCATTATATCACAGCCCTAAATGACTCTGGGTAGATGGAAGATTCCTCTGGAGGTGTAGGAATGATGTTCAAAGGGTGGAGGCTGCCTCTGTTTAATCTCTCTTCTATTCTGCAGACCTGGCCAGGAGCATCTCCATCTGGGTAAAACAAATAGATGTGCTTGAAGTCACTCCCATATTTGATCCTTCTGATCCTATCAGATCCTTCTGATCCTATCCTTCCTCCCCTGTGGACTTGTATGGTTTCAGAGCTAAGGTCTTCACTCTTGTTTTTCTTGCTGTGACTGGGTAACTTTGGCCATTATTCTGTTTAATAGGCCACTTGAAACTGGATCAGGCAACTTAAAGAAAAACATCCAACAGGGGGAAAGATGTGATGCCCAGGTATCTGTTGGCCAGGTGAGAGGAGCTCAGCAGTCACCGAGACCGAGTTCTGTTCTTGGCAGAGTCCAGCACAAACAGCTGCTGCTTTAGTTCAGCCTTCTGCAGGGAACCTTCCACGGTCTCATGCTGTGCTCCTGTCACCAGAGGCCCTGGTTAGAACACAGGGCTGCAGTGAGTTCTGCTCTCCTGCACACAGGCTGCCTGGCCCTGGAGCCTGCGGCCAAACAGCGGAGCTGTCGCGTGTGCAGCACAGGGCAAAGTCCTGCTGAACAGACAGCTTATGCTTCCCATGCAGCCCCTGTGACACTTCCTTGTGCATCCCTGGAGCAAAGCATGTGGTTCACAGCAGCACGAACCACTGACTCTTGTGAGGTGTGAGTGTCTGCCAGCAGCTCTACCTCGCTCGAACTCAGGTGTCACACACACACTGGCTTCTTTTCAGTGCTCCAGAGGCTGCAGATGCTCTGGCCCATGAAGACAGGATGGAAGCCTGTAGTCCCATCATGCCTTTGCCAGCTCAAGGAGAGGGGAAGAGCCACACTGAATGACAGCTTTGCAGACACAGCCAGAGGAGGAATAGTTAAACAAGCCACCTGAGGTGTGTTTGTCCTGCAGTGCCTGGCAGTGAGAGATCTGTTAACAGCCAGGAAGCAGAGCAGGCAGAGACCTTTAGGCTTTTTCATAGGTGTTTGTTTCTACTGAGCTGTATTTAACAGCTGAATTCCTTACTGTGCTGTTGGATGAGTCAACATGTTTGAATACCAACAGGCTATTTAATCTGCTTATCCACTGTCATAAACACCTTTTTAAGAATAAAGGAAGCCTAACAGCTACGTGCAGTGCAGCTGGTTGCAAACTGCATAAACAAGTACTTTCCTATAGCTGAAAATCATTAAACCAAGAGAGAAAAGTAACTTAAGATTTATTCCAACTGCGGTACAGTAAGTTAGTGTTTTGACATGGCACAAGTATTTTATGGAGTAAGTGAAACTGGATGCAGCACATACAACTAGGAGTAAGTCAGTTAACAGGTAAAACATCACACTGGAAAGTGACAGTCCAATGTCCCAAGGTTAATGGCCTGCTAGTTTGGCTCTGGAGATTGCTTCAGTGGGAACAGGTTGCCAGCATTCCACAACCTCCACGTGGGCTTGTAAAAGGCAATTGACACTTTTCATTTAGGGCTTAGCATAAATGCTAAGCTCTCTGCTGTGATTTGAATTAACACAACTGCAATGAGACCTGTAATTTTGCACCACCTCTTAAAGGAAGTTTAAGTACAAGTGAGGGAGTAGATGCTGCAGCACAAAAATAGCCCAATCCCTTGTACCAATTTAAAATCCACAGTACAATCAACCAAGTGAAAGGCACTTCTGTCTTGCACTACACTCTTTGATCCATAAATGATGGGTGATGGAGTTAAAGCTCGCAACAGAGTTTTAAACCCCAGCCTTCCCTGTGGGTGAAGGTTAAATTGACCTTTCCCAGCTTCTTAACTCATCACTCACCCTTTCACATAGGCATTTTTTAATGTCAAAAGCTACTATAAAACATACTTAACTAGTGAGGTAGGGGACTGTTGCTTAGACTTCAGCATAAAAATACACTATGAAAAATAAATTTCTTCCATCAAACTGTCTTCCAAGTAAGGTGAGAGTAGCATCATCTACACCTCAACCAGTGGGTGCAGCTCAGAGGGACTACTAAAGATGTTACAGATTCAGCCCAGGAGCCAATGTGCAGATTAACCTGGCAAGCTGTAACAGTCAAATCCTCATGAGAGATTTTTCTGATTAAGAACAGGAGACTGGCCTAGTGTGTTGTAACAGATCCCTCAGATGGGTCCCTCTGCTTAGGAAGACCTGGAGTCACAAATTCACTTAGATCCCTTAATGAATATAAAGCTTCTCTAATAATTTCTTTCTCCCCAAAGAAACATGGGGCAGTTACTTCCCTTCCCCACACCCTCTTATTATTTAATAACAGATTTGCTGGAGCTCATTATGACTCATTATTTCTGTAGCAGGATATTTGGGATAATGCCACAGCTCAGCCTTTACCTGTATTCGTGCCCTTCTATCCCTGAAATGTTTGT